ATTGTCATTCATTTTCTATCTCACAGCATTTCTTCTGCACCTTGACTAAGTAATTCCCCAGAATACTTTCAAGATGGCTGCTACCATGTTTGCCTATTGCCAACACTTGCAGTTAATATTCGTGTGGAAAACAGGTGGCTTGGGTGAGTGTTTGTGGGAATCAAAGAAAGTGACTGATACATACCCTTTAAATGAACTTAATTCTTGCATGAGTATGGTGTTTGAGAGTTGTCCTTTGTAAGAACAAACTCTTACGAAGTAAGAGATTCTATAAATTACTCTTAAAATTTTAGGAAACAATGTCTTTTCTGGAGGTTTCTAATTCATTATAGCCATTCAGTATCTGGATGGCAATTACTGTATTCCATAAGATCATTTAGCAGAAAATCCCTGGGGGAAGAAAAAAAGAAAGCACAAAAGAATTATTTTTATCAACTTGCTCAGGACTTTTCTATAAATATTTTTACTTGTATTTACTCACCCTCAGAGCTTGGGTTTAACTGCATTTATCCTTTTGTTGCCCCTGCCCCACTTTTCCAGTAGGTTGCCTTCTCTTTATTTCATTGTGGATGTTTCTGTCTCACCCACATTCAGGTATTTGGTTCTGTCAGCTCCTCTACTGCTGTCATTGTACATTTTTATAAACTCCCTTTCCCCATTCTGTCCTATTTCTTTTTTTTTTTTTTTTTTTTTTTTTTTTTTTTTTTTTTTTCCCAAGGAATTGGTCATACGTGGTAGAATGGACTCAGGATATAAAGATAAGAGGATTTACCAGACAAAAGAGTGGGACCAGATAAAAGATGAGTCACTGTCATTCTTAAAATGGAGCTGACAGAACTGGGAAAGAACAGGTTTTCAGTTTAAGCTGTATTTAATACCAAAAAAACCTTTGTTATAACTATGTTTTTTCCCGACAATGTTTTTCTTCAAGTATGTTGATTAATATTGCCAAATTATTGCCATACAGTCTTATTAGCTGCTTTCAAACCAGGCCTGTGCTTGTAAGTACAGTGCACCTGACGGCTTCAGTGGCCTCCTGATGGCTGTGACTTCTGAATTCCAATGAAATCACATTTATCCATATAAATACAACTGAAATCCTTTGTTCATGGTTGCACTGACACAGGGCATTTGTACCTAAACCCTTGCACCTGGCACAAGGGAATGCACTGAAGTATTTTAACATGCATTTTGTTGTGTTTCTACATTTTTAAAATACTTTTTTCTTTGGGGGAGAGGATGTATGGGGGATGACGTAGCAAATCTCACTGTTTCATATTGGAGTGGGTGAGACTTTTCTGGTAAATGATGTGAGTATATGGTTAGTACTACAGTGGAATCAGTGACATCACTGCTCTGTGGCAATGGAAATGTTGATGCTGACTGAGCAATGAAAACCCAGACTGACATTGATGAGCAAATGTGATTCACCACTAATTTATCCCCAGGTATTGAGATGGCCATGAGATAACTTGTGTGCAAGTCTGTATAATTTACAAATATAAATGTAGAGAGCTTGAAAAATAATTTTCACTCTCATCTAACTTTTTTTCTGTGATTGCTTTTGCTTGCCCAGTCAAGAAGCAGGTGATCAATCAGGTATGAATTGCCAATGGCTAATGAATATTAATCAGATTAATAGCTTGTAAATAACCCTTAACTTGAAAGCTGCTTTTCTAGAATATCTGATGATTTTTTACAAATCAAAATGTATTTTGCTTGTTTTGTGAACATACAGATACGTATTTATACATGCACAATTGATATGCCTTGTATGAATACACAGATATCCAGCCTGAGACAGTGATATTTGAACAACTGCAGTTTGGATGAGCAGCAATTGAGGAATTTAGCATAGATTAGCATAGTTAAACAAGATTTCTACAATTATAAATTGACGATATAAAGTGTCAGTAATTTACTCTTTTAATTAACAGAACAATTTGGGACTAATCTGTCTAAAGGACATGCTTTAATTTTCGGGTGACTGGCTCTTGCTTTTTGTCAGTCGTTTCAATCCGATTAGCTCTTTCAGTTTAAACAGTTTAGTATAAGAGTTTTTCTAATAAGAAATTGTTAATTGCTAAACAAACAGGCTGCAATAACAAAACACAATTCACTGAAATTTTGTTTACATTAGCAAAACTTTCTCTTGGAGAATTTAAATATTCACTGAATCTCTAGTCCTTGTGCAGCAGTTTTCAGGGAAAAGCCCTCTATGTAATGGTTGGACTTAAGGAAATAAAAGAATCTCACACAAATAGGCATATGAAATAGAAGTTATTAAACTATTTTGGTAAAGGTAAATGTCTTAAGAGAAAGTGGATCACAAAACAGATTCAGATTTCTGCATTTTAGTTCATGTTTTTTAAGTTTTAAGAACCAAGCAGATGGAAACAGTTTAGTAAAACCTGAGTTTTCTTGTTTTGTTTAATTATAGTCTTTAATCTATTTTTGCATTCTAAACCTTTTTCCAGCTCTGTGGATTGTTTCTCACTGTTACTGAACAGCTGAGCTGGCTGGAAAGGCACTTTGAGATCGTTGCTATTTTCAGAAGAGTATCTTTTTCAGCGTTACAAGTTGATACATAAAGACTATAGCTGTAACATGAGTTGGTGGGATTTCTAGCATTGAAAGAAGTCCTGAAATTATAATTATAAAACACTTGAACGATTTAAAATAAAAGCCAACAGCGTTGGTTTACACTGTTTTGGAAGCAGGAATCGAAATTCGAAAGAGCGAGACTAATTTTGAACGGAAATAGGAAGACTGCGGTAGTTCGATGAGGATTCCCACCGACATCTGGACCTAGCACCTAGAGCGGCGGCGGACGGCGTGGAGGTCTGATCTCCGGGAAGGTAGAGGAGCAAAACAGAATCTCTCGCTTTTCGGGTGCCCTGCTGGCAGCGGCAACACAAACATCTTTTCCGCCAATATCTGCAACGGTTGCGGCGGTGCCCACTCCATCTCCCCTACGGGGCAGCGCCCGCCCTGGCTGCGCGGGGACCCCGCCGCACCACAACAAAATCTGTTGCCAGTGGCACTGCGGCGGCCCCGCCTGGGTTGGCACCAGCGCGGCGGCCGCTCCTCCTCCCCCTGGCCGGGGGTAGCGCCGAGGGGATGCGTCGTCCACCTAGGGAGAGCGGTTCCCTCCGCCAGGTAGCTGCGGGGTAGGAACCCCGGGCGCGTTGTCCTGCCGCGGCGGGGTGGCACTGCGCCGGGCACCAGTCCCTCGCAGCCGGGTCCCAGAGGTGCCCCCGCGCTGGCGGTCGACACCTCGGGTACCCCGAGGGAGCTCCTGCCTGGCGCTCGGGAAGCCCACGCTGAGCCCCCTCGTCCCCTCCGTGTGTTTTCTAGCACGGAGCCGGGGACGCCCCGCAGCTCGACAGCTGCCGCCGGGAGAGGGGAGGCGACAGCCGGGCATCGCAGCCCCCGCCCAGGTGAACGCCGCTGCTTCGGGGTGAGGGCACGGGCGCCAAGCAAGGGCTGCTCCGGATGGCCGGATGATGAACGATGATGGCCTTTTCCCGGCGCTGACAGTGCTGGGGGCACGGCTGTCCCGGGTGGGGGGAGCTCGGCGGCAGGGTGCCCGAAGCCCTGGGGCTCCGGTCGTGCCGACGGGCGGCGCGGGGCTTCGGCGCTACGACGGCTGCGGTCCCGCTCGGCCCGGCCGGACGGGAACGCTCGGCAGGGCTGAGGGGAGCCCCATAGCAAATTGGGGATGCTGTCCACACTTTCCTCCTTCTGGAAATGGATCCCGGTGGGCTCGGCCCTCCCTTCCCGCCTCTCGGCAGCTGACGAGCAGGGTAGAGAGAATTTAGGGCGAAAACGAGATACAAGGGCGGGGGCTTTGAGCGCGGTCGTCGGCCCCTCTCCAATCCGACCCCGCCTTTGGGCTTCCCTTGGACGGGCGTTCGGCCGGCGGCTGCCCCGCTGAGGGCCGCCGCAGCGCGGACCGGCGAGGCACCGGGACGGGCGGGCTGCGGCCAGGATGGCGGGGTGAGGCGGCGGGGAAGGGCCCCGAATGCCCAGGGACCCCAGCGCGGGGTCGAGGTGGCGGCTGGCCAGCGCGACGGGCTCCACTGGCTCACCGCGAGCGACGGTGCCTGTGCTTGCGGAACAAGGCCCGTGGCAGCCCCGGGTCCACACTGCACCTGAGAGCAGGATCTGAGGCAGCCTCCGGGGAGCCGGAGGGTTGGGGTTGGGGGGTGGGTGGCTGTCCGTATGCCAAGTGGTGGGAAGAGCAGGGGGGAGCCAAAGCAAACACATGTGATGCTGCACATCTTCGCGTGGAAATGGTGTTGGATGCCCCACAGAAACGGAGGGGCAGATCTCTGATATCTCCAGCCCAGGAATAGCAGGGCATCCGCCTTTTGATCTCAGCAGCTGGAAATGTATGTTTAAAATAATGACACCGCATAGGGAGAATCTTTTCCTCGTGTTTCCCCGCTTTGCCTTTAGGTAACCGCTGTGCTGTAGCTCCCTGTGCGCGCTTAGCAGTGAGAGGAAGAGAGGGAGAAAGGAGGGAGGGAGCTTGGGAAGCGCTGACTCCGCCAGTGGGCGTTTTCTGGCGGCCGGGGCTGGTGTGGAAGCGGCACTGCAGTGACTGTATCTGCCTTTTTGCAGGCGAGCGCACACATACAGGGCAATATTTGCCTCGCTCAAAGAAAACACAGATTGTTTCCGTTTTCTTGCTTTGAATGCGAGGTGGGAGCATGGGGGAAAGCGGACTTTAAAGGGGATTGAAACCTCTTGGCGGTCAGTCGCGCCCGGTCCCCTCTGGCCTAAAGGGGGAACGGAAATGTGAGGAATTTATGAGGGCGGAGAGCCGGGGTGCGGAGGAAATACTGCCCAAGAGTTGCCGGAGGGAACGCAGGGCTGATCCGCTGTTGCCCGTTGTTTGGCTCCGTCCTTTTTCGGCTTCCTCTTTCGCTTTACTCCCGTATATCTGCTAGACATCCTGCCTTAAACTACCGCGAAAGGGAGGGAAGAGCGGAAGCATGTCCAACTCGGAGAAGCGGATCTTATCCCGCCCCTTGGCCCCCCTAGCTGCAGCACCCGGGGAAAAGCCCGGCTCGGGCAGCCGCCCGCTCCACTCCCATGGCCAGAGCGGTGGAGGTGGAGGCAGCGGCGGGTCTCCTCCTCCTCCCCCCGCTCCTGGAGACGACTCGGCTGCCTGCAGCTCCCTCTCTCTCCTCCTAACAACCACCAACAGCAGCAGGAGCCGCGCTACAGGCACAGCCTCCTCCGCCAGCATCGTCTCTAGAGCGGCGGCGGCTCCTTTCCTCGTTCCAATCCCCTCCTTCTCCTACGCTTCTCCATCTTCTTTTTATTCCTTGCCGCCGCCTCCTCGTTTCCCCTCCTCATTTTCCTTTAACCTCACAAGTCTCCAAGGGAGGGAAGGAGGAGGAGAGGCAGCGAGAACGGCAGGAGGAGGAGGAGGAGGTGGTGGAGGAGGAGGAAGAGATGTTGGAGGAGCAGCAGCAGCAGCTCACTTGATCGCCCATCCAGGAGGCAGCGGCAGGAGGAGACTCTTCTATTCTTCCTCCGTCCAGGGCTTGCTGCTCCGTTCCGCAGCCGGCGGCCCCCGACAGCACCACTCCCGGCTCCTCCTCTCCCCAGCCGCCTCTCGGCCGTGGTCCTGCAATTCCCTCGGTGCTGCAGCAGCAGCAGCCCGCGGCGACGGGATCCGAGGAGGCGACGGCCCCGGCGGGAGCAGGACTCCTAGGCGGCGGCAGCTGCAGAGAGGCGCCTTCTTCTCCTTCTCGTCTCCCCTGCTCCTAGGGCCAGACATGGAAGATGGATCTAATTCTGCAAGCTGCTTTAGGAGGTTTACGGACTGTTTCTTGAATACAAGTAGGTACCGGAGCTCTGTGCCTAGCGGCGTGTCGCGCGTGTCTTGCGGCAAGGCGAAGGGCTGTGTCCGAGGCTGGGTGCATGCTTTGTGGAAAGGGCATTTCTTTGTGAGTAGGGGGGAGGCGAGGACACAAAGGGGCCGTACACGTGGGGCGTGCGTGGACGCATGGAGGAGCGACCGGGTGTGTATTGAGGATGTACGGACAAAGGGGATGCTGGATGTAATTGAGCGCTCTTTGTGGGAGCTGGCTGTTAATGCTTCTAGGATTTCGACATTATTCCGGTATCAGACAACTCTACGTGTATGTATGTCAGCCTTTCGCCTGGTACATGCTTAATTTGCTCAGGAATGACACGTAGAGGAATGGAGACTGTCCCCCCTACTTACTTGAACAGGCAATAAGGAAGCATTATGGTATCGGCAATTGACAGAAAAACGGCAGGGGAGGACCGAAAAGGGTGAAATGGATCGCTTCTTTCTGCATCCCCCGTCAGATCTGCCACGCGCGTTCACATTCCATATTTCTGATTCGGCTTTGGTAGCGGGTGCCGCCTTCCCTTGGCCGTGGCTCGTTGTAAGGCGGGCCAGGAGCCCGAGAGGAAACATGTGCTCCTTGCTACGAGCGGCTGGCTCTGGAACGGGGGTAGTGAACGGCTGGTGGGGAGTGCGAAATAAAGGGGGGATTAAGGCGTTCCACAAAGGGCTCCCTCAGCCAGCCGTTCCCAAAGCCTCGCCGGCTCCCACCGAGCCCGAACGCGGGGGAAGGGCGCGGGGCCGCGGTCGCCCCGTGCCGGCAGGCGGGAGTAGGGCCGGAGCTCGGCCTCCTCTCGGTGCGGGGCTCGGCGAGTGCCCTCCCTGTGCTGGTCGGGGGAGCCCGGCGGGAGCAGCCCAAGCCCTGCGGCGGGTTGTGGGATCGGGGAGGAGGCTTCGTATGGCACAAACTCCCCGTTCGCAGGGACGTGCGGCTCTGTTGCGCTTCCCCGGCACGCCGCGCCCCGCCGGCTGCGCGCCCCGGGGTTGGGATGGCCCCGGAACGGCCGGGACTTCGGGACGAAACCTCCCGGGGTCTGCCTGACCCGTCCCCCTGCCAGCCCTCAGTTCCAGCACCCCGCCGGGAAATGCGCTGGGCTTCGGTGTGGTCACGGGACTAAAGAATTTACAAGCGGAGCAGGTATCAGGAGCATGTATATACATATATTTATATAAATAAAAATATATAAATAATAATAATAATAATTATATATATATATATATATATATATATATATATATATATATATATATATATATATATATATATATATATATATATATATATATATATATAATAAAGGGTTTTTTTGTTTGTTTGTGGTTTTTTTTGTTTTTTTTTTGCTTGTCTAGTATTGTGATGCTTAGGATGACTTCTATCTGCTGTGGCTATATTTTCTTCTTGTGACAGCTCCTTAGTTTGTGGATCTATGCCTTAAGGTGTCCCTAGACTTGAATTGTAGTCTTTTAGTATACTTTTTTATAGATGGCTTTTTGGATACAGATGAACCGTGTATGGTTCATTGGGGAGATGTGAGAAGAACTACAGAGATGTCCACTGAAACCTCATTATCTGTTTTATTACTTACAGCTGTCTTAAGTACAAGAGCCTGCAAGTGTGGTAGTACTTGTGTTCCAGAGTAGTGGTGAATAAAGATGATTATTATATTTGCTGCACTATGTTTTTTCAACTTTATTCAATAGCTGATTATAGCACAGAGCCACGTACTTGTTTAGCCTTGAGACCGAAGGGAATCCTAAACTCTTCCAGTTTTAATTTTCTTTGTGTTTGAGAGGGGTAGAATGCTGACATGCATGTGGTACAATGCTGATGTTTTAGAATAAGTGGTCTTGAAAGCAATGAACTGAAAAAGGGAATGTGTATCATGTAGGGCAATTCACTCCTATGCTAGACGAGGAAAAAGATGATGTGGAAAACATCAGCTTTGTTCTAAACAGCTTTAAAAGCAGCAGTGAATTCAACTTATGCTACTTTATGAACTCTTGAACACAAGAAATTTGGTTGTCTTTCACTGACTGTGACCTCTGACTGAAGATTTTCCGGCAGGAAAGGAGCAGAACTTTTCTTTCCCCTGTGAGTTTACTGACGTCTAAGAAGACATGCAGCCTCTCTCTGTGGATACACTTTTCCATACTCCACAGCTCGTGCTCATGAAACTTTCAAGAACTTAAAAGTCTGATATGCACTGCTCCTCTTTTGAATGGGATTGAAACTGACCAGTGGGCTCAGCAGGTATTAGTGAGGTCAGATAGACTGACAGACAGACATTCACATGTGGTGCATGTGTACATATTTGTACCCTTCCCTCCCTCCCCGAGTGATTGCATAAATATGATTTCCTTAGGAAACAAGGCTGAAAAAAGGAGTGGAGGGAAGTCAAACAAGACACTATTCAGTTCCAGTGCAGCTACTGCAAAGAGCACTTGTCCAGCTGTTTGGAGTGGTGTCCACAGTCCTGGTTACAGTGCAGCTGGAAGGCTATCATTGTTATGAAGAGGATGAGATCATGTAAAATAATGAAAATAATGTGCTGTGTCTCATAACTTTTGTTTCCTGAATTGTATTTTAAGTTCTAAATTATATCTATGTGCATATGTATGCTCTTTGACTTTAAAGACAAAGAAAAGAGCCTAAATATTTTTGCAGAGAACCTGAGGAGAGCTGTAGGGAAGAGGACTGAGAGGAGTCCTCCTGGAGAGAAAATTTAAAAGTGGCATAACAGAATCATCAAGAGTGGAAAACAGTGAAGTTGCTAGAGGTGTAGTCCTTCTTTCATCTCAGCTCTTCTGACTTGCATGCTCTTCAGTCAGGATTTTGTTAAAAGGTTATTATTATGAAAATTTTAGGTTCTGCAATACTCACTTTGTGCCATATCTGGCTATTTATCTTATTAAAATTCCTAATGAAAGACTGGACTGCAGAAGCTTTTATGAACTTTGTGTGATGTATATTTTTTTTCCTAACTGTTTAAAGTCTTGGTGCATTACGCAGTGTTTTAAGAAACTTTTAGTATTGAACATCTTGGATCAATACTCCAGTGGAGTTCTGTCATATTTAGAATACTGCAAGTTGCCAGGTATTCCAGTATTTCAGGTTTCTGGGAAATGTCTTGCCTTTAGGAGAGCATCCCGTCTTCCTTCCACATTCCAGATCTTCTCTTATGATGCAGGTGTATCATGTGTCATCTGTGTCCCATGAGTCTACTGGCAGGTATGAGTTCTTTCCACTAGGTGGGCTTTCTGCTTGTCAGAGAATTATCAGTGTGTTTTTATTGTATACAGTTACCTTTTTTATGGCTGTTTTAGTCCATACTTCACATGCCACATGCTAAGACTTTCTGATTAAGCAGCACTCTTAAGAAAGAATACATGTAAGATATGTTGTTCAGGAAGAAAATAGCAATTGAAATTTAAATAAGTCAAAAGTATTCCTGTTACTTGATCTAATGGAAAAGTTAATCTTGTCTTGACTCTGTTTTTCCTGGTCTGTGTATTAATTTTTTTGCAGTCAGGGTGTTCTAAGTTAAATTCTGATCTTCAGCAATGAATCCCTTGTGTGAAGGAAAACAGGATTTGGTTTTCCAATTAAATCATGCTTAAAATTTAGAATATGTAAGAAATGAATTACATGTGGTTTTCACCCCATGGGTTCTGACTCCAGGTTAATTGAAAGCAAAACTATCACTAAAGTAGGCTATAGTTATGATGAGTGATGTCACTCAACAGCTCCTATCACAACTGGTGTTTCACATTTTGCATTAATGTACAGAAACATGATGTATCCTGGTCTGCAGCACTGCCACTCTACTTAGTGGAATGACGTAAAAATACATAGGGCAAACAGCAAGGAATGCCATGGAAAGGTAATGAAAACCTTGCAAGCACGAGCAGTGGAGAAAGGCTTGCTTTTCCAAATCAGGTATTTTTACAAATGGTTGTCTGTAAAACATGCAGTTTGAATTTGGAATGTCTAATGTTCTGTCCCTTAGACTCCTCAGCTCTGCTGCTTGTGCCTGATGGTTTGGGAGTACCTAGTGCTCATAAGTCTTGAGAGAGGAGGTAATGCCTTCCCTGTTAACTCAGTAACCTTGCTTTTCCTGTGAGATGAACTGTGGAAGGTGTGATTATGCACAGTGGGATAGTTTAGATGAGTTGGGAGATGGTTTATTTTTGCCACTTGTGTGAGGAGGATGGTAGCTTATTCTGACACAAGGCTGGCAGCTTCATTCACCCCATTTGTGTCCTTTTTGGTTTTGCTCATGTTTAAGCCACCCTCATCAGCTGGACATGGTGAAAACCTGAAGTGTGAAGATGTGTTTTTATTCAACATGTTGTGACTTAGTGACTTGATTTTGAAAACAGTTGTGTGAGTTTTTACTTGCACTAATGATTTAGGGCATATACCTGGCTGTCTTGCTCTTATGTCGTCTGTCATACAGATCAGTACAACAGTAACTTCTGTTCAGTTTTAAGGTTCTGTGATATTTTCTAATACAAATAGATGACAACCAATGTTCTCTCAATATTATGGAATCGTGGACTTAGATTCAGAAAGTTAAGAATCAGAGTCTGTGGGTGACTGGATTTTGAAGTTGGATAAGGCTTTTGCAGCTTGTTGATTGATAGTAACCTTGCTTGTGTTTAAAATTCAGATTGAGTTTAATATGGGCTCATTTTTTTAATGCCACTTTAAAAAGTATTTGAGTTTCAAGTAGTTCTGTTTAACACCTGAGCATTTGATTTTTGCTTGTTTTAAAATATTACAATGTTTGCACTGTCAGCATATTATTGTATTCTAACTGAAAGCTAAATCATAAGTAAAATATATATATATATAAAGAAAAAAGGCTGTTTGAGGGTTTTTTAATTGTTTTTATACTCCCTCTGCTGGCTGTTTCAATTACAAGTACCTGTACTTGAACACTGTTACTAAATCTGCTTTTTCTTT